AACCTAGTTGCAACTTAGTTGCGACTAAACCTTAAGATAACACTAGCACGCCTGTCTGTGTATTAGAAAACACACTAGGCATGCGCACTAGATATGTATACTGCTGTATAGGCTGCTAAGGCTACTAGTTAAAACTTAGATAACTCTAGTACACGCTTTAAGAGGTGCCTGTCTCTAGCTATATAGATAGTAGCGGCTCTTAGGCTTGCACTCTATTAGCTATAAAATATATACTTTACTGCGTGTATATACACATTGCGAGAGGCTTAGATGCAGTCTAGACTAAGTTGTTCTACTATAGTATAGGGTTAGGTAGAGTAGGTAGGTTCTAAGATCTGTCTAAGACTAGTCTAGCAGGGCACAGACGCTAGTAGCAGAGCTATTCTTAAAATTTTTAAGAACAGCTCTGCGAACCTCGCTTAGCTTTTGTCTGAGGACAGCTGACCCAAATGCGAAGGACAGCTAAGCCATAGCGTTGTGTATTCGCAAGCAGAACTGTCTTGAAGACGTACCTTAGATTGTACTGTCCTCCCTTGAAGTGCGCCTGCGCGTGCCCGGCTCAGATGAAAAGGTTGTCCCCAGCCGTCAATATTACCCGGGTCTTCTCCGGTATCGCAATAGTTTCCTCGTCCTCTTTTATTCGCTGCCCACCGGGGCCGTTCATTATGGACAGACATTGCTGGATGTGCAGCTCATCCCGAAACACCATCTCTCCTACTGCATCCCAATCCATATCCTGAGGAGACCCGACAAGTACAACTGGCGCATCTGGATCCGCTTTTGCTCTGCTTGATGTGACGGCGCCCAGTCGGTCTCCGGCCCCAGTCTTGACGCGTATTACATAGCGCAACCTGTAAGACTGGGGGGGATGCATCTCGAAGACCTCCTTGATCAAAGGCAGATGGGTTTCCTCCATGTACGACTGGAAATGCTCTGGGGTGACTTCTGGGCGACGGGAATAGAAACAAAGAACTGATACCGTCATGGTGTCGGTTTGTAGTGTCGGCGGCAAATCTTTGCTATTCGATTCGAAAGTTACAACAGAAAGAGGTTAAGGTGCGTGTGGTAGTAGAATGCTGTGGACAATAGAAAAGCTGAAGTTTATGGCAGAGAAGAAGCGGCTTAGGGCTTGTCCGAGTCAACAAATCACACACGGCTTCTCAGGAGCTAGATGGGATCTGCTTATCTTCAATGGACAACGATGCCTTATGGGTGGGACTACAACACACATTGACCGTGTCGTAGCCTTGCACGGATAACAAGACGAATTCGGCGATTGCGACAACGTTGCGCCCTGTTGGGAAGGGTGGGTTGTGGGTCGGTGGACAACGTTTCGCGCCGGAGGCATTTCCGGCAGCAGGGTCCCGTCCTCATTCGCTTTGCGATGTTCCCCTTACTTTCGACTTCCCATGCTGAAGTGTGGCTGTTGATATACGTGCAGCTTTCACACTGTGCCGCGTAAGGCAATAGGTATACCAAGGAAGTGCGCGGGATGCCACACTGGTGAAACGCCCTCCCGTCATCTCAGTGGCTGGTTGTTGATGCGGGGCGTCGCGACTACCCCTTCACGTGAACTACAACACCCCTTGCAGAAGGTATCGTCGGAACTGTCTTTTTGAGTCTGCACACGAATCAGTGAGGGAAACTATCCCGACGCGCACTGTTCATGGGCATGCTCAGGTGATGGTCAAGAAAGTGCCGTGTAAGCGCTGCAGGACCGGAGTCCTTATAGCTGGCAAGGGCAAAAGCTTCACGACCCTTGTATGTTCGAGAAGTCGGCTAATAACAGGATCGGTGCTCACTCGGAACCAGTTCTCTGAGGCGATGGCCTTCTGCGAGCGGGATTTTTGATTTTCGCATAGCAATGTTGATCATTGCAGCGTCTCGAGCGGTACCCCGCAGCGCAAGGAGCGTCGGGCAATCTGACACCGAAGTGTCCGTCCATACAGAACCGTACGCTCCAAGCATCGCCAACGGGACGGACCGCATATCCGAACGCCAATATGGTTCTTGGTAGTATGGGACTATCGAGAGAAGAACATCAGACGTCAATCACGACATCATCGTCGGACTGTCCTATACTTTGTCGTGAGCACCTACATTCGAAGACGACGCAAACATGAAGTTTCGTGATGGTATGAGTCTCGCAGCCTGTGAAATGTTGCCGCTAATGATCGTACAGGCATGTGGCTGGTCAATGACCAGTTCACAGTTCAGCATGCCGAAGAAGTCTATACTGTCACGCCTCGGGAAGACAACAAGGCGGTCACTTTGCTATGTCCTAGCAGGAAGATCTTCACTAGAGGCGATACCTTGAATCTGAGCACCATCTCCGTCGAGATCGAAGCCCAGTTCGACGGCGTCATCTCTCTCGAAGCGACGCACTTCGCTGGTGCCAGGCGAATGGGACCAGACTTTGACTTATACCCGGCAGGCAAGCCGGAGTGCAAAGGCGAGATCTTGAAGCAAAAGAAAGGGACCACGGTCACTTCAGGGGGACTAAGCGCGACCATCAGCTCTGATGATCATACCTTCGACATCAAATTCCATGCCACTGACGGATCGAAAACATTGACTTCTCTTCTCCACCGGAGCGTCGGACTAGCGTACTCACCCGCCCTTAGCACGCCCAAGAGTGTGGAGGATCTGGCTGCACATAAACATTACATGTTTACTCAGACCGAACTTAGTGTCGGCGAGACTATTCACGGTTTAGGTGAACGTTTTGGTGCATGGAACAAGATTGGTCAAAACGTTGAAGTCTGGAACGAAGACGGAGGTACGTCTAGCGAGCAGGCTTACAAGAACATATCGTTCTGGCTCAGCTCAAGGGGTTACGGCGTCTTTATCGACACACCCGATAAGATTGATATGGAAATTGGTAGCGAACGATGCTCAAGATTGCAGACTACAGTTGAAGGGCAACGCTTGAAATGGTGAGCATCGCGAGTAACTCGATTGATCTCCTTGCTGACTTCCAAGGTATCTCATCTATGGACCAAGTCCCAAAGAGGTACTTACCAAGTACTCCATTCTTACTGGCAAGTCGAATAGAGTTCCGGCGTGGTCATACGGCCTCTGGCTCAGCACATCATTTACGACTTCCTACGATGAGCAGACCGTCCGCCACTTCGTTGAAAAGATGTCAGATTCCAAGATACCAGTCGAAGTATTCCATTTCGACTGCTTTTGGCTGCGCGCTTTCCACTGGTGCGACTTTATCTGGGATCCAGAGAGCTTCTCCGACCCTGCTGGTCAGATCAAGCGCATGAAAGATGATGGACTCATCAACAAAGTCAGTGTCTGGACTAATCCTTACATCGGCCAAGCAAGTCCTGTGTTCAATTATGCGGCTGAGAAAGGCTATCTGCTCAAGAAGACGAACGGAGATGTGTGGCAGTGGGACCTCTGGCAGACTGGCATGGGTATTGTGGACTTTACAAACCCCGAAGCTTGCGACTGGTTCCGCGAGTGCATGGAGAAGCTCTTCGACGTGGGTGTCAGCTCCATCAAAACGGACTTTGGTGAGCGCATACCAACGAAGAACGTCCAATGGCACGATAAGAGCGTGGATCCAAATCGCATGCACAACTACTACGCCTTCATCTACAACAGACTCGTCTACGAGGCAGTACAAAAGCGGGAGGGTGAGCACGAAGCCATACTGTTCGCGCGTACAGCCTGCGCAGGATCGCAACGCTTTCCACTTCATTGGGGCGGCGACTGCGAGTCAACACCCGCTGCGCTTTCGGAGTCAGTGCGTGGTGGCCTGAGTCTTGGGCTTGCATCCTTCGCGTTCTGGACGAGCGACATTGGTGGCTTTGAGGGCAAACCGCCACCCTGGATCTATAAGCGTTGGGTTGCATTTGGTCTGCTCAACTCGCATAGTCGACTCCATGGCTCGAACTCGTATCGCGTGCCATGGTTAGTCGACGATTCATCGGAAGAGCCCGAAAACTGCACTGAGGTTCTCCGACACTGGGTGCAGCTCAAGCGTAGCCTTATGCCATACCTGTTCGCCCAGGCAGAAGAGAGCGTTGCTAATGGATGGCCTACCAGCGTTCGCGCGACTGCTCTCGAGTTCCCAGATGACCCAACGTCCTGGTATGTGGACCGCCAATTCTTTGTTGGCAGTCAGATCCTCGCTGCCCCGGTCTTCGAGGAAGACGGTAGCGTTGATTACTACCTGCCACCAGGTCGTTGGTTCAGCTTCTGGGACGGTAAAGAAATGCAGGGCGGTCGATGGATCAAAGAGAACTATAGCTTCCTCCAATTACCGTTGTTTGTTAGGGAAGGCACTGTTCTCGTGCTCGGGCAAGCAGAGGGCGAAGGCGGCTTTGGTTATGACTGGCTCGCTACCGGTGGTGAGGTTAGACTTTATGGTGTGAAGGAAGGTGACAAAGCGACTTTGGTGGATACCAAGGGTGGTAAGAAGGGTGTCTTGGAGGTCAGCGCCGATGGTGAGCTCAAAGGTATGGATGTTCTAGGTGGAGACTGGAAGGTCTCGAAGCTAGGATAGGCTGGCAGTCTGGCCATCATGAGGGGTCATGTATCTCGACCTTGTTTGCAGCCAGTCTCAACGGCCGTGAGCGTAGAGCAGAGCCGCTGTAACGGTCCTACACCAGCGAAGCGAGCTAGTGAGGCGCCATTCATTGGCGGAATTTCAACATGCCTCCCCGCACGCTACTGTACCCCAACATCCTTCCACTTGTTCCCCGGGTTTTATGGCAGCAAGATCAGCAAATACTTGTCCGCCAGCAGACATGTTCAAAGTCTATGCGGGATCGCACCGTGGAAACTAGGCGCGATCTTCCGGTTGAATGCTTGTTACGCGAGGCTGGCCTGAAGATGTAACATGACCAGCATGCGTCGATGGCGTGGGCACCCAGTTGCCCGGGGCAATATATACCTGCAGCGACAGCGCGTTGAAAAGGACTGTCACCCACAAGTCCCAGTCTTCCGTGCAAGCATCGCTGAGCTGATCGGCCAAGGTAGCAACCATGGGTCTCATCTTCAACATTGCCCTTGCCGTCTTCGCTGGCACGGGCAGCTTCCTCTTCGGATATGACTCTGGAGTAATGACCATTGTCATCCAATCACCCAACTTCCTCGCCTTCTTCGACACAGACAAGACATCGCCGATTATAGGAGCCATCAATGCGACGTTTTCGGGCGGAGCGTTCTTCGGTTCGCTGATGTACGTGGATGTCTCTTGTGTAGAGAAACTGGCATGTACTGACGGATAGTAGGGGAGGTTTTACTATGGATAGGTTCGGTCGCAGGAAGACAATCATGATCGGAGCCCTCATCAATCTGATCGGCGCGATACTCCAATGCGCCGCCCAAGACCTCGCTATGATACTCGTCGGACGGATTCTGGCTGGATGGGCAGTAGGTTTAATGTCCATGTCCGTACCCATCTACCAAACCGAATGCGCCCACCCTAAAACGCGAGGTCAGTACTTCCACATCAGCCCGAACTCCCCATACTAACAAAATCCAGGTCTAATCACCGGACTCACGCAGCAAATGATAGGCGTAGGTTTCATCGTCTCCACCTGGGTCGGTTACGGCGCCTCGAAAGTACCCGCAACAAACTCCTTCTCCTGGCGCTTCCCCCTCGCCTTCCAATGCTTACCCTGCTTGATCATCATATGCGGTATGCTCTTCTTCCCTGAATCGCCGCGTTACCTGGTCGAGATCGATCGTGCAGACGACGCACTGAAGGTGCTTCGCAAGCTGCATTACAATGGTAGCAACGACGACTGGATCCAAAGCGAGTTCAATGAGATCAAGTTGACTATTGATGCTGAGAAGGCGATTACGGCGCCCGGATGGAAGGTCATGTTTACCGTTCCGGTGTGGCGGAAGAGGCTTATGCATGCTACGCTTGTTCAGGTGTTTACGCAGATGACTGGGTATGTTCTCTCGTCGGATTATCGAGCTGGGTTTACTGACATTCTCTCAGTATCAACGTTATCGGTTACTACTCAACCATTCTCTACGAGAACCTCGGTATCGTCGGCGACCGCAACCTCCTCGTTACTAGCATCTACAACATCGTCGGCCCCGTGTTCAACCTCTTCTTCATCGTCTTTCTCCTCGATCGCGTTGGCCGCAAGAAGCCCCTTCTCTTCGGTACGATTGGTATCTCCATCGCCCTCATCTGCGAGGCGATCATCGGATCTCAGGTCGAAGGTGCAACGGGATCCCGGAGAGACTCGCTATCTGCCGCTGGCGTCTTCTTTTTGTTCCTGGTATCATGTATCTTCTCAATGTCCTTCGGTCCAATTTCTTGGGTATACGCCAGTGAGATCCTCCCGCTAAGTATCCGTGGACGCGGTTCTGCTTTCGCAACTGGATTTGGTAACTGGCTTGTGGGAACTGTGTGGAGTCAGGTGTCGCCCATCGGGCTGGGTGAGATTACTTACAAGTTTTACTTCATCTTTGTGGCTTTCAACCTCTGCGTCACGTTCCCGACTATCTGGTTCGTGTTCAAGGTACGTAATTCCCCGGAAGGGCTCGTAGGAGAAATTCATGCTGACTAATCTTGTAGGAAACGAAGCAGCTCACACTGGAGGAGATCGACCTGCTATTCGGCGATCGTGCGCTTGGCACGCTTCCTGATAACCTGGACGACAAGCAGCGGATCATAGAACTGGAGAGGATTGATGCTGCGAAGAAGAAGCTCGCCGGCAACCAAGTTACGGCTGTGCATTAGATTGAGGTGTGTGGAGAAGTCGGAGTCTCCGGGCTTGCCATGCCGATCGCATGGACGAGCTGGAAATGCTAAATGGGTTGCTTGAGCTTGCCGAATACAAATATATTATCGTCATCCACCGGTGTTAATTTCCTCAGCCTGCCGAGTAATGTAAAGCTAAAGTCCCCTCATGATATCATCAATAGTGACAGGTTTCCGTACCGCATTCGAGAATCCTTCGTGGAAGGATACCCATATCCTCCCCACATCACCCTGCATCTCCCCACTGTCTTGCTTCCTTTTCGCTTCTTTCCTGCTCTTATCCGTTTCTACAATCACCCTGCCAAAGAAGTCCCGTTTCACGGCCTTCTTGCTGGCTTCGGCGACCTTCTCTTCCGTCGTCTTCTCTTCTCTCTTGCTAGCCTCAATCTCGTCCTCGTATTCATCCATACCACCGCGGCGCTTGCGATTGGCATGTTCACGAAGAGCGGATTCTTTGCGCCATTCTTGTTCCAAGACGCTGCGAACTGCGTAGCGCCCTTTGTCGTCTTTCCTGCCGGCCAGAGTTTCAAAAGTTGCCAGAACGTCTAATGCGGGCTCCATACGCCAGACGAAGCCAGCATTTCTGTTCGCCACGTCTTCGGTCTCGATTCGCGACTTTTCGAACCGAATGCCAGTGGCTGTCATTGCTTCTACAGCTTTCTTGACAAGTTCTTTCTCGGAAGCTTTGCGGACGGATGCCGTAGCGAAAGACTTTGACCCTGATGCACCGGTATTTACGAGGACAGGTTTTACGTCGGGTGACAACATACGCAAGACGTATGGTATGAGTTCCATGGCCATCTCCTCTGGACTTCGAAACATGCGCGTCAACGGTAGACTAAGACTTGTCTGCAGCGCCATCAACTGACTCCTGCTAGCCTTGGTCTGCTCCAAAGCTGCAAAGCTTGCACCCGGTCCTGAGAAAGGTGCTGGCTGTGCATCTGGGTCTGCTACGGGGTTTGCAGATGATCGGATAGGCGAAGCGAAGAGGTTGTGGAAGGCGAGAACAGAGTTTGAGAGGTATGGTGCCAGTTCCCATTCCTGAGAACCGTGAACCGCCGAGTTGAGTGTGTCATGGAAGTACAGCCATTCGTATGCAGCAGATGGCTTGCTGAGGAGGGTATCGTCTTGGAACGGTTTCTCGGGATAGGCAGTGAAGCAGTCTGTTCAGTGTTAGTATTTGATGAGGCCGTAATACGAGGTGAGATATACCTGTCACGATGCGGTCGCAATCTCCGCTCGTATCGACCATCTCCCTGAGACGATCCATAGCACGACGTTTGCCTGCTTCAGCAACACCAATGACACCACTCTTTGCCCTCGCGGCTGCGGATCTCGCATCGGTGGTTTCCGCTTGCTTCGGGAAGCCAGCACCCTCACGGAATACACGGTCGACAACGTCCTTCGCACCGCCTCTTCCTAAGCTTCGAGCGGCTCCGCCACCATGTCGCAAATCACCGATGAGGTTATCTTCTATCCACTTCCGCGATAGATGAGGCCTCTCCTTGGACTTCACATCGTGTGATGATCGTAACCGAGCTGCTATCCATTCGGCCACCACCATAACGCCACGTATGTCTCCTTCGCCAGTGCCACTACCTGTCCCGCCCTCTTTCTTTGTGCTGACACCCCACGTAGCTTCGCAGAGACGGCGCACGCCATCCGAATCGCATTGGATGCCTTCCTTGCCAAATATCTCCTGCATGCGCGAGACGACCATGTTGAGGGCAGGTTTTCGAATGTGCACGATCTCAGCCATCGAGGACTGTCGCAGTGGCCGCAGCGAAGGGTGATAGAGGTCGTTGCAGATGAGGATGAGTGGTCGCAAGAGTCTGAAGTTATCACCCTTCTTCTTCTTGGTGCCAGTCGTTGACTGCTGCTGTCCGAGTGCCTTGGTGTTTCGCTCATCCAGATTTATCAAATCGATAAGTGCCTTGACGAAACCACCTTCACCTGAGCCCCCACTGCCAACGACACCATCTACTTCATCGACCACAACGCATACTGGCTTTCCAGCTTTTCGCACCTTGCCGTTCACGGTGCTGGTATTGACACCGCGGACATTCTCAGTTCCCACCATATCTCGAATGCGGCCTTTGACGACAGCACCGCTACGCTCGTCCGAAGCGTTGATCTCCTGCACTTCATAGCCTGCTTGTCGTGCGCAGACATGAGCTAGGGTGGTCTTTCCGAGCCCAGGAGGCCCAGTCAGCAGCAAAATCTTGCGATGTCTCTGTTCGTCTTCTTGGAACCCGTCCTTTGCTTTCTTTGGCTTCGCTTTGCCAGAACCGGGGAAGACGATTGGGTCCCACGCCTTCAGCCACCGTAACACCGATCGATGTGTACGTTCGTCTCCTACCAAGTCTGTGAATTTCTTCGCTCGGTACTTTTCAGTCCACATCAGTGTGCGATTGGTCTTTCCACCCTTAGCTACTGGCTGCTCGATTGATGGTTGTGCTGCTAGGTCAAGATTCTTCAAGGACGCATTCATGGCCTTCTCCTGATCAAGCGCCTTCGCCTCGTCCATGAGCTGATGGATGTTGAGACCATAATAGCTCGTTCTCGCCTTTCCTTCCACGGGTTCGGATCGTGCTGCAATGATCTCTTCGTACGTCTGGGTCTCGCGTTGGGCCTTCTTGCCTATATGAAAGGCCTTCCCCGACGCGTTACGGGCCAGAACGCCCGGTGCGGATTGTGCTGAAGTTGGCTGATGTGACGTGTGCGGCCGCTTTACCGGCGATTGTGATTGTGACTTGAAGCTGTAGTTGTCTAGATCGTCTACCGGTATCGATTCGGGGTCTGCAAACTCGTCCTGGCTCGCAGGGGGTGTGTAGTCTGCTAAGCCTTCAGGAACAGCTGGGAGGTCTTTGATGCTGCTGACAGCCCTCCGCTTCAACGTGTGTTCCTTCAGGGCCGCAATATCTTCTTCATCGTCGGAGTCGTCCAAAAAGCCTCCAATCCTGCGTGTTGCATTGTTGTTTGGCACGTCTTTGAGTGGCTCTCGTGCGTCTTCTGGGCGCTTCCTCTTCTTCGGCGAGGGCGGCTGGGGCATCGACGAGCTCGGCGGGTATGCGATGGGTGATGAGATGAGAGGCATTGCGAAAGTCGGAGGCGATGAAGGGAATGTCGTGGTTTCTTTCGAAGGTTCAGTCGGCAAGCGCTTGACTGGTGACTGCTTCTGGCGCTTCGCAGGCGTGTCTGGTGGGATTAGTGCCAGTTAAAGCGCGCGTACACGCTGGTAGTACCAGTTGGTCCTTCTCCTTCACTCCTGAATATATCCGCTACGTTCCAGGCGCGATGCTGTATGACGATACCGGCACTGTTCTTCTTTGCCGTGTCTTCGGCGATGCAGTCGTGCAATGCGTCTAGTTCGTCGGAATGCGAGGATGGCGCGGGCGCGTTGCCGAGAAATTCGAATTCGGAATGTAGTAGCGCGGGGTCAAAAGAGGATGGAATGCCTGGTGAATAGCTACTCATTGGTTCTGGCAGGCGTCATGGTTGGAGTTGGAGGAGACGCGGGTGACGGGGCGGAGATCTAAAGTGCGTGGGACGCGTCGCGTTCAAGCGCGTTTTGCCGCTAACCACATTCGCTTTCGTCCCATGCAATCGATTGACTTGCCCACCATGCTTCACACATCAATTTTATCACTGGACTAGATTTTTGATCAACCCCACCATGCTATCTTACTTTCAGATTTTATGCCTGTCACGAGCTGAGTTCGCAGTCCGTTGTTTTTACTGTGTTCGTCTTTTCGCATACACTGCATCCTCATAAGAGCACAAATTTGCCCCTTGCGCGATGTACAACGCTCCACATCCTTAGCGCTTTCTACGCGTACAAGATACTTTCAAAGTAACCTTGGAAATTTTGTACTCTTCAGTATTCGCGAGGAGTCAAATCGGAGTCATACCCCGCCCCACCTTTGTCACCTTGGTGAATGGATCAGCCCGACTTTCAACTACTCTTTTTCTGTTCGACGTTGGAATATTATTCTAACACGAGGTCAGAACGGACTGGAATAAAAGCAGTAGCAGTGATATGTCTATTAGTTCTCAAGATTTGTATCAAGCAGCAACTGCCAAAAGCTGCTTGGCGCAGCGGAAGCGCGCCGGGCTCATAACCCGGAGGACCTCGGATCGAAACCGAGAGCAGCTACATGTTGTGCATGTTTCTTTTATTTTTGCTAGACCTTTGCTCTGGTAGTTGATCACCTACATCTCTAGGCCAGGTTAAGCAACCCCTTTTTGCTACCCCCTTCGTCCCTAGTCCCAATATAAACTGCTTTCATCATGGCCATTATATTCAAACTTGTGTAGAGGTAAGCGTCTTCCTTGTGAGATTATGAGCTGGATGTTATGCCACTGCTACGTTCTGTAGCGACCTCGCTTTCTTTAGATGCAACACCTAACCTACTCTGACACGCTTTGGGCATAGATCACTATCTGAGTCCAGGTAGGACAGGGAACTAGAAAGACAGAAGATCAAAAGGACAAATCACTCTTGACTTCTGATTCTGCTCCGACCAACTCTACTAGCACTACATCAAGTCTTGACAGTGACCCAAGTACAGCCACTATCCTCCTCCCATCCTCCCCAAACTCTCTCACATTGCACATGCCACTCCTTCTCTCCAAGCTGGCTCTCCACAAACTCAGCAAGACTCATACGTCTACCCATCCACTCCCAATACCCCCCTTTTACCCCTTCCTCCCCACCACAACTGGCCAACCAAGCCCCAGTCTTTGCGCCCTCGTCCGTATCCACCGCGACATACCTTTCCGTCGTTTTGAGGACCGCGAAAAGAGGATTGCTGAACAATGTCTTCCAAGAGACGGCGAATTTGCCGAAGATAGGAGTAGACGTGAACCCAGGACTGAATGCATGTGCCGTGCGTCTGTTGTTTGGCGTGGAGTCGAAGCGTCGCTGAAGGAGAGCGGCGAAGAGCACTTGGTGTGCTTTCGAGAGGGCGTACGATTGA